AGATGTGATCAAGAGAAATGGCATTGTTGTTGATGGGAAACTTTTGCAAGTTAAATTTAAAGGTAAATTTTTTGTTAATYATTATTATTCGTGCTTTTGATATAAATTTATTTCGTGTTAATTTGGTTCCTAAAAGACAACAACAGAAACCCTATACCGACGCTGTGTTTTGCTAGAATCATGTGCCTACAAATTCAGTCTTTTAGTAATTTGAAAATTAGCTTTGAACTCATAATCATTAAAAGAATGTGTTAAAATCTTTAAGTAGTCTGATTTGTAAAAGCAAGGGCCATGTACAATGTGTCTTTGTATGTGATTAAGTGATTCTTATAATACTTATAGTACATGTTTCCTTATATCTCCCAACAGTGATTATTGACTATAAAGCATTTTGCCTGTTGCTGTGCAAGAAAGATGATGAAAACTTTCGACTTGGTAGCAAAGGATTTGGTGAATTCTGCATGTTTTGTCATGCACTAAGGGTATGTGAAGTATAAATATTCTAGTACATTATATTATTAACAATGTACCCTAGTAGAATAGGTTTAATCATTGAATCACTGAAATCTGAAAGTATTTTGGATATTCCACATAATTGGTTAAAGCTAGCAAATGAAAGTATACACCGTTGTGGCCTTTTATCTAATGCTCGGGATTGTTCATTCTTTAGTTGACTTAGAATATGATAACACCCATGAGTGATTTGTACTATTGTTTCATTTTGGAATTTAATACACACTTATGCTAATCTTAAGTATTTAGAATTATGATAAAGAAGTATCTACAAGTGGTTTTAAATGTTTTTAATTTTTCTAGCTTCACAGGGATTAGAGATGACCTCACCCTTTTATTGGACGAAAACATGACAGCTGTTAATATTTGTGCATTACACTGTGAACTATGAAATATGGAACAGCTTCTTGCTTCCCTTGGTTTATTCTGTCACAAGATTGGTTCATTAGCTGAGTGCAATGCTGCCCTTAAAGAATATGGTCCTCAAACCATGAAAAAATGAAATGTGTTTATACAAATGATGCAATTTATAGCAAATATATATAGGCATCTTAGAATGTACATATGTAAATACCATTGGTACTTTAAAATAATATTTTCAGGTAACTTTTTCAAAGCCTAAGTTTAATATCTGATAAATATTTGTCATTGAAAATTGTCATGATACTGTTGTCCTAAGTGCTGTTTGGCAACAGAAACACTTGGGTGACACGCCTGTGATTCTGTGATACAGATTTCATGACATGCTTCCATGAAATAATATTTTCAGGTTTTTCAAAGCCTAAGTTTAATATCTGATAAATATTTGTCATTGAAAATTGTCATGATACTGTTGTCCTAAGTGCTGTTTG